CAAAGTTTTCCATAATCTGATGAAACACACTTACCATGTGAAGTGCAAAGGGCCATGCAGGCCAGGAGAACGATGCACTGGATGGCAACACTTGTCTTCATCTTAAAGCTTTTAAATTATTGAGTGGAGGATCTACTGAAGGCTCAGTCTTCAACTGGTTTGTTCTTCTCAGATATGAAGGATCTCTGCTGCTGTGCGTCGTCTCCACTTCTCGAGCTGCCTGAGTGTGCAGGGCTGTGAGGTTCATCATCTCTGAACTCCTTATATACACTCACAGGTACGTGGACCCTGGCCAAGGATGTCTTCCTAAGAAGTGGCTGCAATAAAAAATTGTTTTTTTGATTTGCGTTCTCCCACACTGTAAATCCTGCTGTCGCAATTCTTTGGCATTTAAACTTTCTACATTCACCTAATTGTAAGGACTTTGTCTGTGACTTCTTTATGTTGAGACATGCCTGCCTTCAGGTGTCACTTGTATTCGCTGAAACTGACGTCAGACTTCCCTTTTCATGTTTGAACTAACTCCAGTCACTAATGTGTGAGTCTTGAGAATAAATTTACTTTTATGTTGCTGAGCTACTTCCAGAGAAGTGAAATCTCTTTCAACGATCAGTCTAATATCAACAGTTTGGACAGCTGATGCCTACTCTTTTACTCTTTCAGTTGAATTCTCCTCAAAGTTTACTTACAGTTCTCCTATCCTTTTGAAATCAGCGTGTTTGTAAGCAGAGTGTGCACTTTCATCATTGTAAGGATGTGATGTACTGAGTCCCCAGAGGAATATGCCTTATCTAAATATTATTTCTTTCTAAACATATTGACATAATATTTTCTTGGGGGTGAGGGGGGTCCAATCCAATGGTGAGCAATGAATTTTTCCAATGGGCCACATAAGAAACTGGGCCTTTTGTGAAGTCTGGCATTCTTCGTGGTCAGATTTGGACATGCATAGGTTGTAAAACCTGCCAGTGTATCCCATTGCAGGTTAAGCCTTAGCTAAGCATGGAGTTACCTTCAAGAACAAATCACAGTCCCTATCACTGACTGGCACTACTGCCAGTTCCTTCATAGTCTTTTGTTATTCCTCATACAAAGACGAGTAACTGGGCTGTGATGCAGACATCCAGAGCAAAGGCATCATTGTCTGATTTGTTTCCCGCTGAATCTCCAGAGCTGATTCTCAAATCCTGCTTTTGTCAGGGCACATTAGCACAGGAGGGTCCACCAAACACACTTTGATGACCTTTTTGCAGTTTTATGGAAAATCACAAAGTTGACTGCTCCATCCCTCCGTCTTTATATGGACTCTGCTCTAATGCAGATGCCTTTGTTGAATCGCATGGCCTCAGAATGGTATAGTCTGATCATTAACACATATTCGGTGACCCTCTTTAACACCTGAATTTTGGGATCCAAATAAAGATTCTGGTGAAAATACTGCTGGCTTTCAGTTAGAATATAGTTTTCACAGATATCTTGCATCACAGCTGGCTTTCAGTCAGCAGTACTCTGGAACTGCTATTGTGGCTCAGATAAAACTAAGAATTGGATCAACACCAAGTGTTGCAACTGTAA